AAACCTGAATTCTAGTTGTTCTGAAACTGACTTCATTATTACCCTAATCTATTTAATTTCTTTAATTGTCTAGGGAATGAGGGGGAGATCTTGTTACATTAAAAATGAGAACAAGAGCATCTCATGGGAGTTGTGGAGGTCCTCTGTGACCTTCTGTGAAAGATTTCCTGAAGCTGGGAATCATTATGGAATGTCTATATTCTTTCAGCAAATGATAAAATTTGTAACTTTTAATTATGTTTTTTGCCTCTTTAAAAACAAAAATTCACACTGAAATGTAGACCTCCCCCCCTTTAAGTATAGCTGTTCCATTTTCATAATGGTCAGATTGTTTAGTGACTACGGATCCGTGGTTAATTTGCTGCTGGTCTCCAGGAGAATTAAACCCTAAGACTTCTCATTTTCCACTTCCAACCCTATCAGTAGTACACCTAATTAACTTTTTTCAATCCTTGCCCAGTACCTTTATATCTTTCATAGTCAGAATTAAACTAATCTTATGAATGCAGAGGTCATTAGAGGACTTGACATACAGCTTCTGGACGCAGTCAGCTTTTCAGCTGAAACAGCTAGAAAATGTTTTTGCTGCTCACAACTTCCATTCAAGACTCTAGTGTTTCTGATAGTTAAGTTCTCAAATTGTAGTCCACACTTGTAATGTTGTTCTCGAAATTACAGGAACTAGAAATTAAATGTATTAATGAAAGTTGAAATCATGATAAATTAGAATTACAGGATTTAACTCTGCCCCAATTTATCCTTTTATAGAATAAAAGCTTTGTAGTATAAAAGCATGAAAATATTTTTCTTGCTGACTGCAAATCTCTAAGTAGATCCAAAAAGAACTGAGACTAAGCGTTTCTGCTCCAGCAGTTGAAATAGCAGCACTTGAAGTGATGAATCAATCTTGCTCTTTTCCTGTGATTGACTGTCACATTTTACAGGGCATTATTTCCCCAAAGAAGAATTTACAATCAATAAGCAACTTCAGACAAGATGATGTTTATCCTCCCAAATAACCACTCCTTGTTGGCAGTTCAAATTCAAGTTCAGAGTACGTAAGTCATCACATTTGCAATGTTTTTGGCATCTAGCAACCTCATTATGTAGACGCAGGACATTAAAAATTGGTTTTTTTTGTTTGTTTGTGTTAGCAGTGTTTTTAACAGTCAGAAGTCTTGACTTCATAATTTCTGAGTGTTCTTGCATGAAAATATTGCTGATACAATTGCAATTGTAGTGAAGTTTATCTCAAAATTAGTATACTTTATGTCTAGTCTATCTCTAATTACTGAATAGCTCTTCTCTACAAAAAGAAAACCTAAAAGAGCATGCTGCATTTGTGGCATCAACATTGATATTCCCTAACAGCCAGGAGCCCAGCACAGGTGCTTGTTATGCCGCAGGCTGTTCTAAAAAAATGGGGTAATAGTTTGTATCATAAAATGCTTTCAGTCTAACAGAATTCTTCTCTCTGATTTAGCAGCTTTGTTATCAGCTGCTAAACAGGCCTTCTTGCTCAAGGTCACTATCCTGTAAGTAGAGGTGGATGTAAATTTTGTACAAGCTCCTCAGCCTTCATAGTTCACACTTGGGTATTGAGTTTTTATTGATGCAGTTAAATTCAGCTAAACCTCTCAGCTAGATCCTACTGTGTGCATCCTATGAAGATGTAATAAATGATGAAAGAAAACTAGGAGGGAGGATAGGTGTGAAGAGGGGAAGGTCTGGGATATAACGCAGGTCATCCGGTCACTTCCTTCTCATGTATTGCATGTTAATGCTGGCAGAACTAGTATTTCATTGCTTATGTCTCCTTCATTGCTTTTTGCAAATGTCACTGAAGGGAAATTCCTGCCTGCACTTCAACAAGAGGTTAGAGACAAAGTTTCACTTTGCATCTTGATTACTTCTTTTTTTTTTTTTTTTTTTTTTTTTTAAACTGAGTTCTTAATTAGGCTTGCCTTAATCTCTTCCTTTTCCCAAACAAATGCATAAGTTTCTCTATATTCCTCTTATTCACTGTTTTGAATATGCTAGGGAACTGAACTACCTTTCACAGAAGGGTAAGAAGTTGATAATCTGCTATCAGATGATGAAACCACTTGAGCAAGTTGTTACATATCTGGAACTGAGGCTGTTTGATTGCTCTGGGATCCCTGTCCCTCTCTTCTCCTGTAGAGATCACGACAAGGAACACAAACAGGAAATTTCCTAAATCCACATGAAATATGATGTGATATAGCAGCAATTAATTCCAGATTGCTAGTCCATTCTGTGCCTGCTGTTCTCCATAGAGTTCACTAAGGAATACAAGACTGGTACCTTTGTCGCATCTGTTTGCAGTACTGGCAGCTTGTACAATAGAGGTACCATTTTGGACAGGTTCGGAAGCCCCTGTGTTACATGATGCTGTCCACTGCAGGTCAGATGTTGCTTTGATTGTATATTATGGGTGTTCTGGCTTTCCTAAGCAAACTGTTAAACACAAATATTTCAAAGGAAGGTCACTGTCTTCTCAGAGACTGCATCTAAGTAATTTGCTCTTCTTGAAAGTCTTCTCTTGAAAGCAAAAAGATTTTAATACACTGAAGAGACAGAAATGGGTCTAAGGAAGAACAAACCCTAACAAAATCAGAATTAAAATAGGAAAAAATGGTATAATAAACAAATTCAAGAGTTTGGTGTTTTGTGGCAGAAGAGTGCTATAGCTTGCTTGTGAATATCACAATTGTTATTAATTATTGGTGTTAAGAGGTCTGAAAATTTGCATAACAGGATAAATTACCCAAATGTTTATGTAAATCTTAATGTTGATTGAGGCAGGTCACTTAAAGCACGTTCTTTTTGAAGTGGTGATGATCCTCCTCCTTTTTTTCCCTGTTGTGATCTGCAGATAATGCAGAAATAAGATAGTCTGGAAAATGTGTCCATGTTTAGTATTTATAAAGATTTAATGATTTCTCTTATCGTAGTTAAATTTATCTTAATTTAAGGATTGTATGGATGTAACAATTGCGCTTTCATCACAGGACATAAATATGTGCGGATATTATTTTGCCGCTGATATTGTCTGAACCTTTAAAATCATAACTCTTGCTTCTATTTGTAGAAGAGTTTAGTTACCTTAGGTTGGGAGTGCCAGAATTGGTTGCAACCCAAATGCTAACTTTGTCCTGAAAGAATGGAGCTGCCAATTCCCTCTCCATTTGATGGTAGAGTTACTGAGGATGATTCTCTACAGAGAGTGACTTTGCAGTCATCTTTCAGTACTGTAGATCTTTCTACTACTGTAGAAACAGCAGTACTGTTTCATGGCAGAATAGTTATCTGCACAACACCATGCAAAAAAAAGTTGAGTTCGGTTTCCCTTAGCTTTGGTCAATCTATACGGGATGTCATTTTCAGCTAAGATTTGAATAATGCTCTTTAAAGCTTTTTTAACTTCAAATGTTAATGTACTTAATGAAGTACTTTAGAAAATTGTTTGAAAAATGTATTATACATCTTTTAGCTCTTTTGTTTGTATACATGATAATCTTTCTTCAGTGGTAACCAGCTGTGTGGATTCTACAGTGGAAGCTTAAACTGCACATCCAAACAATGTACAGTTTCCTCTTCAGGAAGCTATACATTGAGACATACTGGCATGAGGGGGTCTTTCTAAATCAACATGTTTTCATAATCCTCTGGAAAGAACCGAAGTTTTCTTGAATTTCTGTAGTGCAAACACTTGTACCGTGGTGTAATACTAATCCTTACAGCAAGGCATATTTGACTTACTAAAATTAAAGTGCAGCAGGCAAAGAAGTATAGCTAAGTGTTTCCATCTGTTTACCAGAAATCATGGGCATCTGCAAAATATAGATGTGAAATGGCAGGATGTATGTGTATGTAAGATTATGTAACTATCACCAGATATCAGTCTTAAAATGTCATTCAGTAAGCATTCTATCCAGTAATGGAACTTATTTTGAAGTGAGCAAATGTAATTTGGTCTAAAGATGTGGTGTTGTCACCCTACACACGTTTTTCCATTTCTGTGCTTGTGAAGATGGTGGTTTGTCCCTCTTTCACAGTGCATCCTAAAATTTCTTGCAAGTATTAAAGCACTTGGAATACTTGCTAATCTTACTGATAAGTTGGTCTTTGAAATATGTTTACTCCTTAACATTTTATCACCATTCTTATTTGATTGTGAGATTAGAATGGAAAGCAATGTAAGCAGACTAATGCTCATAGTATGTGTTCTGTATTTTTTGAGGAAGTGGATGCTTTATGATCAGTGAGATTATACTAGGTATTTAAGCATGCTGAAGAGATTTAATATATGCATTAATTAACATAATTAAAAGATTTTTGAACTTTGTGTTACCACAGTTCTGATACTTAGATGCAAGTGGAAACAAAATCATTTAAAACAATCTCATCTGATTCAGGATAACAGTAATAAAACCTGGTTTGATGATGATACTGTTCTTGGTCTTAAAAATTTCAAGAATGAAGAATGCTACATGGAATCACACCAATTTTCCCTCTGCGTAGCTGCTCACCATTGGGGCATTTAGTTGCTGTGTTCCCATTAACACTGTTTAGAGTGGTGGTGCTAAATTTCCTGTTAGAGCACTGTGGAATAACTTAAAAAATACTCTGATGTATGCGATGTTTTAGGCACTTTGTCTACCCAAATACTGTCCTGTATGCTCCCAGCAAGTTGTGCAATGATTCGGTTGGGTCTTGGTATCGTGGCTGATCTTTTTAAGTGGTATCCATAAAGTCCTTCTTTGTTTTATGCTTGTGTGGTTTGAGTACAGCAGTTTGACAATTGTTTCCCTCAGCATCGTAATTGGGGAAAGACATCTAATAGGAAATGTGGTAATAACACAGACGACAACATAATATTATTTTCCTCAGTGTCTTGTATAGTAAAGTACCCTGCTACCTGAAGGAAGCTCAAACATACGCTATGCATGTTAATATTTCCTTGTTTTCTCTTGAAGGATCGTCGCTTTAATGATGAGATTGACAAACTGACTGGATACAAGACAAAGTCACTTCTGTGCATGCCCATAAGAAACAGTGATGGAGAGGTTATTGGTGTGGCACAAGCAATAAATAAGACTCCTGGAGGTGCCCCGTTTTCTGATGACGATGAAAAAGTAAGACTGCCTTCTTCTGTTTTCTTGTATGTAGCCTGACAGACTCTTCTTAAGAGTACCTACTGCAGATACTATGAATAGAAGACTTATTCTTCAATATTATTGACTATGTAATTAAGTTGTAGTTAATTTCTCAGGTATGACAATGCTGCAGTATTTCATGTACAATTTATTTCCTCTTTTTACCTATCAGAGTGGAGGGAAGAGCTGGTGTTAGTTCTTTGTTCAGTTCGTATCTTGATAATTTATTACTCCATGTTATACTAAAAACTCCTGCTGATCTGTTTTCTAATGCTTTCTTAGCTTTATAAAAAAAAAAAAAAAATCTGAGTTATTGTCTTAGAAAATTAACTGTAAAGCAGAAAAGCTGATGCTTATTTCATGAAACCTACAACTGATACACTATTATTGCTTTCTTCTCACAGCTCTTTTTTTTTTTTTTCTTCCCCAATTCTTCAGCCCTCAAAATTTTAGCTTCCTTATTTGGCCTGCAATCTGTTACTTATGTTTGAAAACCCTTTTTTGTGTCTTTATATATTAACCCTTCATGACATAGTCTGTTTCATACAGGTTAAGTTCTTTGTAGATTTTAACTTGCAGTACAGAAGCTAGAGTTTCAGAAACCTATTCTCTTGTAAACTTAGAAGCTGTGAAATTAAGGGTTTTGCCATCATTGTGGAGAAGCTTAGAGAAACCTTAAGATATCAAATTGCATTTTGAAGGAAAGACTAAGAGCATCAGTACTGACGTATTCTTTATAGATGTTAATGCATATGCCTCCCCCACTGTAGGAATAATAGCTTGAGTAGCTTGTGTTTGAAGTTAGGTAATTTCAATTAAAAATAAACATAATGAAGAATTTGTATCACCAATAAATGAGATGCTAGTAGCTGATTCAGAATGGAATTAATTTGGTAGAAGCTGTTGCTTTAGGTTCAGATGACTTGTCAGTCTGTAACTATTTTTATAAAGACCAGGTGCACTTGGGAGCTTAATACCACTAAGGTATGGGGAGCAGCCTTTTGTGTTAATGGTGTTTAAGTGCTTAATATAAAACGTATGCTGTAACATAAAACATCTGTTCTGTAAATGCAAGAGACCTTGCCTATTAAACTTCAGCTTAACACTTTTTTTTAGATTTTGTTAGACTTCTCATGCGATACTTTAATGGGAAGATTTGTGTTAACCTCTAAATAAAATCTTTCAAATAATTAATTATTGGTTTTTGTTGAAAAAATAGCTTATTTTTTTAATATGAACACTCAAAGTATTTGGAGAAAAAATGGAGAAACAGACAACTCTATTTGTTCTAACAAATATTGTGTGGTGATAAACTAGCTGTGGATTTCTTGTTCATATGTTGGTATTTGTTTTTTTTTTTGTTGTTGTTGTTGGTTTTTTTTTTTGTTTTTTTTTTTTTTTTAGAAAAATTATCTGTAGCAATAAGTTTCTGTGATAGTTTTCCTATAAAATCCTAAGCTTGCTCACCTTAGTCATCAACTCCTCTGAATGCTCTCCATAGGATATATGCCTGTGGCGATACACTAACATTATTCTAGGGGATGTTACATTTACCACTTTATGCTATCATAAAGCATAGGAAACTTTCAAATCCCTATCTAAGGATAAATACTTATTTTCTCCTTTCTGTCCTTTTCATTAAGATATATCTGGAGAGTAAAGGGAGTTCAAGTAGCAACAAGGAGGGCTTTTGAATTAAAATTAGGGAAAATGGGAAATGGTGCTATTAAAGTCAGGATATCTACACCTGAGTATGAAGGGAGAATGTGAATGAAGCCAAAAAATGACAGGAAAGAAGAGGGTAGAGTCAGAAAGCTGCATAGCAACTCCATCCAGGAAAGAGAAATGGAGTATCCTTCAAGAATGTACTATGAAACAATGCACGCTTCTGTTTTATTATAGTATTGAATCTATTTTTTGTAAAAGCGTAGGTAGAGATGGACTTTGCCCCTGAAACTTACTTAAGCTGACTCAAAAGAACTTAGTACTTGACAGAAAGCCATTGTTGGTGCATTATTACATGTTGACATTCCTGTGCTATGACAAAGAAGAGGTGTTAAGTGATACCTGCTGGAAAGAGAAAATCTTGCCTCATTGATTCATTGCAGTAGATGGGAATAATGTTTAGAATCAAGACAGTATGACATAAATGAAATGTCTTAAAGCTAAACTAACCTTGGTTTTTCAAGGCTGTGAAACATTGCACAAATCAAACTCGTTTTATGTAGAAAGCGTAGGAATGTATGTATTCCTTTAATCTGTTACTACATGGCTATTTTTACTACTTATGTATGTGTGGCAATACATTCAAGTCATAGTAGAGAGCCATTTCATAGTTTTTCGAAACAGTGGTTTGAGGATATGAATCTTTACGTTACGAATGTCTGTTAATAGTTTCATGCTCTGATTTGTTGTGTAGTGGGAGTAATTCAAAATAGATTGTTTTCTGTGAAATATTGTTACACAAAGGAATGTTTTGCCATCCAGGTAGGAAAATCCTTGCCAAGTGAAATACAACAAAGTGAATACACAGTATCTGAGAGTATAAAGATGATTTAATTGCTCTTGTGCCTTCTATTAGCTATCAGGTATTTTTTAATAGAAACAGTTATGAGCAAATATTTTAGATTTAACATAGCACTCTCTTGCTGTTGAGTAAAGATCTTCAAGCAGTTACTCTAAACAGTACACACTTGCATACGAAGAGTCAGCTTTATTCCTCTGTACTGCTGTATGCTTTGGATACTTTTCCTAAATCTGTTTTGATGTTTTGTTCTGATTTGTACTGCTCTTGAGCTGATGGTGAACTCTTAGTTGAAGCGCACATTGTCATTGACCTAGCTGTTTGGATCAGAGTTGAAAGATTAGGCTTATGCCTGGATAGTAATATTCTTATTGAAAGTGCATTCAACAGGTGATAGGGAGTGAAACATAAATTAGGTTAATGAGATGAATGCCTATGGTATGGCAGACAAATCAGGTGGGTCAGCTACTCAGTTATTCTGAGATGAGCTTTATGTTATTTGTATTAAAGCTGAGTAACTGGGCTACCATTCACACAAACATGAGTAGTTCTCTAATACTCAAAAGGTATTTATTAGAACAATATTTGTTGCAGTGTATTTAATGTGCTGAGCAACAAGAAAACAAATCGCTTATCAGCATCAACTATTCTAGTACCACAATAAGGTATTTTTTTCTTGCAATAATTTTTTTCCTATGAAAATAAATTATTTCTGCAACAGATCTGTAAAATGAATGGTGCAGTACATACAGAATATGCTAGAATGGGTAGTCAAATGCAGATTGAAGTAGTAAACTTGGACCTTTTCCTGAATGGGTGTTTCTGTACTTGCTTAGTATACCTTGTTCCTGTATAAAATATCATGTTTGAAGTGCTGCCTTTATCTTATAATACATTTCATCTTTGATAGAATATTCGAATATCATACATTCAACTGGCAAAACTGCTGTGTTGATGTCAACTGAGTATTGCATAAACACGTTAATATAATATTTCATGTTAATACTGAGGTTGTGGTGTTTGGTTTCCATGCTGAGGTTACTAAAGATTTTTCACAATCAGCAAGTTTCTTGTAACTTAATTGCCATCTTTATTTTTTTTTTCTAGTCATGTACACTATTGTTACAGTTAGTAACAAATGTTTCTAATAATTCTTCAGTAATATATTAAATGGGTTCTCAAATGTAGTCTTTAAGGGAAAAATAAGTGAGAATGTAAAAATTACTGTGGTCTGTAGCAAGTCTAGGATTGGCTGTGGCTTGGCAGCCTGCGTGCTGTTTTTGGTTATGGTTTTTGTTGGTGTCTTTTTTGGTGTTTTGGTGGGGTTTTTTAATTTTTATTTATTTATTTATTTATTTTAAGATTCTGTGCTCTTAAGCTTTTTCCCTCACTGGTAACCTAGAAAACCTCTCGGAAACCAAGAAATGCACTTCCAGGAGAATGTCTTGCAGGATTGGTGAATGCTTTTTTAAAGACTATATCAGAGGAGGCAAGAGACAAAGGGCAAGAGAAAACTAGGGGCAAAAAAAGAGACTTGGAAAATGTTTTTGAAACAATGAAAGGAAAATCTGTCATCAGACTTTACTGCACAAAGCACCGTAATACCCAGGCAATCTTGCAAGCAAACCCCATTTTATGTTGATGTCAATTTCTGACAAGTAGCAACTTCAGAATAATTATAAAATGAGACTCTAATAAACTGACCTTACCTCCAGGCCCTTTCAAACAAATCTCAGTATCTCTACGTATGACTTCTGTTAGAGGTGTCTTTCTATACTCGCAATTATGTGAAGCAATTAATTCTATCTTTCTTTGCAAAGCTTCTAGACTCTTGTATAATAAGATGTCACTTGGGGGCACTAGTGCCTTGAGTCGATAGAAAACAAAGAATAATGTTTTCAATTACAATTAAGTAGATGCTGGCATCACTTCATGTATTTTTAGTTATTTTTTTGAAATTTAAAGCAAATAAAATATTTAAGATTTGGGGAGTTTTGAATGCTCCCAAGCTGTAACCAAGTTTGTTTTGCAACATGTAAAATAGTAGAGTATTAGATTTCCAAGCTTTTGCAATTCTTTTTCATGGCAGACTTTCAGGTTTTTCTTCTGTGTCTCTGGCCATGGTGTTAATATCACTGCTAAGTTTTTTGCATGTAATGATTGCTTCCAATTGCTAAACAAACTGTTTCCTCTTGATATAAAGGATGATTCAACCATTTCATTGCTTGGAGCTACACTAGACCTGACAAATTGCTGTACAGGTTTTACCTCCTCAGCATCAATGGCTTGGTCAGCCAGAGTGATGTAGAGATTTCTGTTTTGGTATAGACAATTACAAAAGTATTGCTTAATTTAACAGTCATTGCCTTACACTGTCATTACTAGGTAACTTTTAAAAATAAAATAAATTCTCTGAAGAATATCAGTTTTCTTCCAACAGTGGACATCAGTTCAT